CATAACTAACTTTTGGCCATTTAATTTCTTGGTAAGCTTGGTCCCAAGTTGTTGGAGTCTGGTCAAAGGCACAGCGGCAATTTTGGGGTATCAGGAAGCCTGAAGGCACCATCACGTTGCTGATGCACTTGCCCCGCAGGTACAGGTTGGCCTGTTGGCAGCACCATACCCCCAGAAAGTTTCTTTTCACCAGGGTCCAGGGAAAGGGCTGACAGCACTGAAAGAGGTCACGAGGGACAGGCATTGTGGTCTGAGAAGTTGTGAGAGCCCAGCGGGGTCCCCTCACCCCATGTCTTGGGGGTGGCCTCCCCTGGAGCCCTCAGAACCTCACACTTTCAGGTTTTCTGAGTCTCTCCAAGGAGAGTGTGACATATCTGCATCTTTTGTGAAATGAGAATGACCTTGTCTACAAAGAGCTAATAGGAGCGAAGGTGGCCAGTCCAGTGGACCCCTCCGGACAACCCATCTCCCCAGTGGCCTGTCTTGCCCTCACCCCACACACACTCCTTCCCACCAAGCAATCCGTTAGCTCACCTGAGCTGCCTCACCTTCTGGCCTCTGGGTTGCCACCACGCCCAGGGCTGCCTTTCCCATCACGCTTGGCCTGATTTTGAGGCAGCAGGGAGGGGGTGCTGTGTATGCTGCCCCCACATGCATCCTCATCCTCTCTGGCTGGGGCCAGACCCTTCCTCTGCTCATCTCTTCAGACACCTCAGTGTTCTGAGTCCACCCTCTGCCCCTCCTGCCCATCCAGAGCCAGCCGTGGGGTCTGCGTACAGAGCAAATGGGAAGTCAGCCAGGTGGGGGCACCTTCTCAGTGAGCACTGCTGAAGTTGCCTCAAAATATCACCATCATGACGGGCACTGGTGGAGGGATGGGTACTTGATCATTGTATAACTGAAACCCAAGCACAAAATTTGTAAGCCTATAACTGTACCTCATGGTGTTTCACTAATAAAAAAAAGAAAAAAAATTTGTAAATATAAAAAAAATATCACCATCATCATCATCATCATTATTTTGAACTTTATTCTAGCCACCAATCATTTATAATTTGACAATATTGTCAATGATGGGTTCATGTATATCACACCCCACCAGGGCACCCCTTTCCCTCCACCATCGTCTGAAGGCCCTCTTCGCCCCTCTATGCCTCACATCCACACCAAAGCACCGCCAGCCCCTGCCCACCACCTGCAGCCTCCTCCCTCCCTCTCCCCTTAGTGTGGGGGTTTCCTGTGTATCAGACTCATTCTCCAACAGTCCCACCACCTCAGCCTCCCCGTCTCTACCCATCTGCACCCCCTTCCTGTGTTTCTTTTCCTTCCTTCCTTCCTTCCTTCCTTCCTTCCTTCCTTCCTTCCCTCCTTCTTTCTTTCTTTTTGGTTTTGGGACATACCTGGCAATGCTTAGGGGTTACTCCTGACTCTGCACTCAGGAATCACTCCTGACAGTCTTGGAGGACCTAATGAAATGCCAGGGATCTAACACAGGTCAGCAGAGTGCAAGGCAAATGCCCACTCCCCCAACTGAGCCAGCTCCCCCTCATGCCTCTACCCACCACCACCCCCAGCTCCCCTTTATCCCCCCAGCTGAGCCAGCCTGTACATTGGTCTCTGTCATCCCCACCCCCATCTCCAGCCTCTCCCTCACACAAGGGGCTCCTCCTAACAAGCGCATCTGGGTTCTTCAGACAGATGTAAGGATGTGTGTGAGCAGCAGGGGGACACCCCCTAACACATGTGCACACATAAACACACATATGCACATATGCATACACACAAACACACATGTGCACACATGCACGCAGGTGTACATATGCACATATGCATCCACACACAGGCACACAAGCACGTGCACATGTGCACATGTGTGCACATATACATACACCCCGTCAGCGGCTGCAGCAATCTGGAAGAAATCACTCCTCCAAACACCAGACTTCCTTGATTTCAGGAAATTCCAGGCTGAGTGGAGGGGGTGGGGAGGAGCTGGCTGGGGGGTGCTGGCCAACCTCGAGCTGCTCTCACACCCCCGCTCTCACCAGAGGGGCCTCCATATTCCACCGCTGCCGCTGAGTCCTACAAACCCGGGAAGCAAACATTTGGGGGCTACAGAAGGCCCACAGGGACGTGCATCTTAAGCTCCCAGCCCCAGAAGGACTGGGGTGTGTCGTGCAACAGTCAGCAGCCCCCAGCGTTCCCACCATGGCCCAAAAAGGAGGCTGACGCCAGACATCTGGGGATAGGTAAGGAGAGAAGGTGGTGGGACTGGTCCTGTGGATCTGAGGGAGGAGACTGAAACCAGTTCTGGGTCCTGTGGGCGCGGCCCTGCACCCCTCAAACCCCACAGGCCTCTCCCTGGCCAGGTGAACTCCGCCCAAAGGAGGAAGAGAAGGAAGAAGGAAGTCCTGGAAACGAAGAGGGGTCCCACGGAGCGACTGGGAGCTCTCAGCAGGACCACGAGGTAGGGGGATTCAGGGGCTGGGGCAGGACCCCACCAGAAGTCATGTGGCCTCACATCCTGGGGCACATGGATGGGGACCCCCACCAGGGGTGCGCCGGGTGAGAGGCTTTTCCGACTGGTTGCCCCACCCTCAAACAGTCAAGCTGGATCCTGAACTAGATTCTGCCCCCGTACACCCCACCTCAGGCAGGCATGGAGGGTACAGAAGGGCTTCAAGCCAGCATGGACCCCGACACTCACCCCCTCCCAGAGGTCAGGACAAGATCAGGGATATCACCCTTGTCCCTGCCACCAGGGAAGCAGAGGAAAGGGACAGCGCGGTCAAGGGGCGCAGGGTCAGCCGTCAGCCCTGCCCTCAGGAGCAAATCAGGGCATTCTCCCTCCCACCACCAGGGTATAGCAGACATCCGGGGGGTGAACGGGTGGGCTGGGGAAGAAAATGGCCTTGAGGAGAGTGTGCTGGAACCCTCCAACAGGGTGATAAACTGAGGCTGGGCCCCAAAAGGAGCCAGGACCTTCCTTGTGGCCAGGGGCCAGTGAGGAGCAGGGTCCAGCACAGAGCAGGGACATGGGGACATGGGCAGTGGCAGTTTGGGTTGTGGGGTTCTATACTGCAGATCTGGGGACCCTGAATGCATCTCGCTGCCTCTGGCAGGCACTGGTGGCTGCTCTGAGCTGGGCAGTTTCTCCCCAGTTCCTGCAGAGACCCTGACCATCTCGGACACAGCCTCACAATTTCCCAGACAGGGCTTAGCGCCAGCACAGTCCCAGCACTGGGCACGCCAGTGCCCCGCCTCGGGTGCCGTCTGCCCCATTTCTGGCCTTGCACTTCCTCCACAGTGTGCCTGCCCAGAGGCCTCCACTGTGCCAGAGATTTCTCAAGGGCATTCAGGAAGTCAGCTTGGTCGGGGTTCAAAGAGCCAGGTGCCTGCAGGCAGTGGCTCTGTGCCATGGGGCAAAGGTGCCCACAGCTCAGAGGGCAGCACCCTTTTATCTGTTTAAGGCCCGCCCTGAATCCACTCTGCAGTGACATCAACCAGAGACTGCTAAAGGATGCGGGCAGTGCTGGGCCCTGGGCTCCACTGAGCCCTTGTTGGACTGAGCAGCCGAGCCCCCAGGAGCCTGCACAGCCTGGCCTGAAGCCAGCCAGCACCGGGAACAAATGTATTTTTGATTCTTTTGACTTTGATTTTTCTACCACGGACATTCCCAAGAGCACATTGCTGCTCTGCCTCTCCTCTCCTGTTTTCTCTGACCCTACTTGCCGCTGACCCACTGTATGGGGTGATTTTCCCAGCCCCATCCCCAGACACCCGCGCTCTTCTTGCTGGCAAGGTTACAAGTAGACTTTGAGAGTTTTCTATGTGCCTTTCTGGGTGGGCCCTGTGATTAATCCCTACTCTAGCCACATCCCCAGTCACAGTTTTCAAGATAGGAAACAGAACATTAATTCTATCTCTCACAGCTGGCTTAGGGTTGAGCACCCACTCAAATAGAAAGAAGAGTTTTCATTGTATTAACAGTGACTCTTAAAACAACACACACAAGGTCATCCCCATCCCCTCCCCAAAGTTCCATGGAAACAGCCTTGTTCCAGGATATGGGCACAGCACTCCCTCGCGCCCCCTCCCCCCCACTTTGCAACACAGGCTGCTAATGCACTGCGTTCTTGATAACTTTTTTTTATCCTATCCCCAACTCAACACAGGGAAACTGTCATCACTGGAGACTTCCTCAGTGGCACTTCCAAAGTCCAGCAGCGCACACAACGCACCTGGGAGCCTGCAGCTGTAGACTCCCAGTCTCCCCCAAGTTCCCTAGCACACAGGGCACACATTGGGGCATATCATGGCTTCTCTGTGCCCTGGCAGTGCTCTGTGGGCCTCCCTTTCTCTATCATACACACTACACAGTCATTTCACATATATTTATTATGAGTCATATGCATGTGTATAAAAAGACATCATCTAATTTTTTTGTTTGGGGCCACACCCGATGATACTCAGAGGTTACTCTTGGCTCTGCACTCAGGAAATCCCTCCTGGTGCTGCATGGGGGACCATACGGGATGCCGGAGATCTGGTCCATAGGTGCAAGACAGGTTCCCACTCATTGTATTATGGCTCTGACCCCATAATCTAAATGTTTCAAAAACATATTCAAATACTGCCACATGCTCAGGAGCCCCTACCACTGTCCGTAGCCCCTAAAGGGCACAGTCCACCTTGTCCCCAGTTGGAGGACTCAGCCATATGTAGGGAGTGCAGGGCAAGGCTAGTGAAGGCACGGCTTGCCCCCGGCCTTTGAAAGAGCCACACGAGTGTCCTTTCTCAACAAGGCCACGGGGCATCCAAGTTTTGTTTGACGCTGAGGGTTCAATCAAGCAGCTGTGACCTCAAAAAAAAAAGAGAGAGAGAGAGACCTCTGAGCCTCAATTTCCCTGTAAGCGGGTCTGGTGGCACCTAGGTAGGGAGAGGGTGGGCACCGGGAGTCAGAGAGTGGGGAGCGGTTCATCGTCCCATTTCCCCTGTAGATGCCAGTGCTGAAGCAGCAGGGCCCGGTGCAGTCCAAGAAGCGTCCGGAGCGCGGCGCTCTGTCCATCTCGGCGCCGCTCGGCGATTTCCGGCACACACTGCACGTGGGGCGTGGCGGCGACGCCTTCGGGGACACGTCGTTCCTGGGCCGCCAGGGCGCGGGGCCGCCCCTAGAGCCCCCGGCGCCCCCCGCGGGGGCTCCGCACAGCGTCCCGCCGCCGCCCACCGACCCGCTGCTGTCCTTCCACCTGGACCTCGGGCCCTCCATACTGGACGCCGTGCTGAGTGTCATGGACGTGGGGCGCTCGGAGGCCATGGCTCAGCCAGGCCAGGACCCCAGCGCCAGCCCAGCGAGGAGCCAGAGCGGCACGGCGTGACCAGCCTGTGGGCAGTCCGCGCCCTGCCCAGCGCCCTGCCCTCGCCCCCGTTTCCAATCATAAACACCTGCGTCCACCATGTTGCCTCACTGTACCCTGCTGCCGGCTGGAAGGTGGGTCCCCGGCGCTTAGGATATCGCTTAGGAGTGTCACCGCAACCTCATGGACGGCCAGGGCCTGGCCGGATCCCTACGGGACCACCCCTGGACGCACCCGAATGCTGGCTCTGCTAGGCATTTCATTTCCCGAACCCAGCGGCAGCCCAGCGGAGACAGGACTGCAGACGCACTTCACCTGTTTTGGGGTGGGGCTCCACATGCAAATATACAGGGGCGGTGCCTTGTATGCAAATTAGCGCTGTAACGGGAGGGGTTTATTTGTGCAAATAATCATCGGGAGGCGGGGATTCGAATGCAAATCAGCGTCGGGAGGCGGGTCCGCATGCAAATAAGCAGGCGAGGCTTCGTTCACAAATTACCGACTGGGCGTGACTTTGCACACAAATCGGAAGGCGTGTTTAGCATCCAAGTGACCCGACAGTTGGGCTGTACGTGCTGGTCGTCCGCTGGGTAGCTGGCCTATGCTGAGGAGGAAGTGGGCGGACTACATACAGGAAGCCGTGGTGGGGCTGTGCGTATAAGCCCGGGAGACCGGCAGAGAATGCACATTAGCCGGGACACTGCTTGCAAAATCAACAGGCGGCTGATCGCCCATGCGAACTGCCGGGCGGGGTTTCATGTGCAAGTAATATGATGGGGGTGGGGGTGGGGGTGGAAATAACCAGCCAGCAGATGGCATGAGCTGTAAATATAAACCAGGACGCACGAGATCTTTGCTCAGGGCTCGCCTAGGACCCTGATGCGGACCACGCCTACGTGGGGTGACGCGGGTCTGAAGTGGCTCAGTGGCTGACCAAGTAGAAAACGTTGGGGCTTGGCTGCAAGTGCGAGCACTTGCCGAGGAGGAGGGGCAAGGTGGAAGCCCTCGCGGGCGGGCGGGCGGAGGCCCCGCGGTGACGTCACGGCGGGTCACCCAGGGGCAGGCCATCGGGCTGGGCCGTGCCAGCCGCACCCTGATCCCCATGGCGGCGGCCGCAGAGACAGGGGCGCCCGCGGAGGCCGCGGCCGAGCCCACCCCGCCGCCCGCCTGCCGCTTTTTCCTAGAGGGCCGCTGCCGCTTCGGGGCGCGCTGCCGCCAGCCCCACCCTGGGGTGCCACCGGCGCCGCCGCCGGACCGACCCGACCTCGGCGAAGCCAAGAAGCCGCCTCTGCGAACGGCCGCCGACGTCATCCAGCGCATCCGCTGGGACCCGCGCCTCGACCCGGCCGACTTCACGGTGGGCTACGCCGACCGCTTCCAGGGCGTGCGCGAGGAGCCTTTTGGCGCGTTCTGCTGGGACGAGCCACTGGGGGCGCTGGGCCCGGGTGTGCTGGCCGTGCCGCAGCACCGCGTGCGCTACTTCCGCCACCGAGGCCGCCTGGTGTGGGACCGCGCCTCGCGCACGGACCTGATTTTCGGCTCGGGCGCCGCGGCCGGCCGCGGGCCCACCATCCTCGACTCGCTGGACGGCAGCGACCACGAGGCGGCGCACCGAGCAGGGGCCGAGGGCGCACCCGGACCCCGGTATGTTCAGGACGACGACGAGGAGGCGCGCTGGGCAGGGGAGGAAGACGCGCCGGGGACCCAGGATGCTCGCGACAACGGGGACGCGCAGGCCGGAGCTGCAACGGTCCCGGGAGGCACCCCGTCAGTAAAGCAGTGCGCGCCTGCCGGCCCGGACCCCAGAGCAGCCGGAGCACCCAAGATTGGCAGCCTGTCGATGAAGGACCGGGAGTATGAAGTGCCTGGGACCACAGAGCTGCAGGACACCCAAGGGGAAGGAGAGTGGGGTTCTGGGACCTGGCCCCAGAGTGGGGAGAGCACTCCGGGTCCCCACCGGCCCCGCCCCACACACTTCGTGGCGTTTATGGTCACTGAGCCTGCGCTGCGGGCAGCAGTGGCAGCGACTCAGCAGCAGCTGGCCCAAGCCGCCCCGGGCTGTGAGCCCTTCCTGGTGCCAGCACAGGCCCTGCATCTGACCGTGGCTTTGCTGCGACTGGCAGGCTCGGGTCGGGAGGCCGCGGCCGCAGACGCCCTCAGACTAGCACTCTCCAAACCAGGGCTCCCGGTGCCCCGAAAGCTGAGCTTTAGGGACCTGGAGCTCCTGGGCCCTCATGTGCTGTGTGCGCCCCCCACTCCCTCGCTGAAGGACACTGCAGAGACACTGAGCCAGCGGCTGGAGGCAGCAGGGCTTCGAGTACTGCGGCCGGCGGGGGGGCTTGAACCCCCACCTCACCCTGGCCAAGGTGCCTCGGGGCACCCACTGCTGCCTCCCAGAGCCAGGGCCCAGCCCCCAGCCAGAGCTGGGCAGTCAGCCCCTGACCACGCTCTGGCTGTGCCGCATGGGGAGGGCCGCGGACACCTACCAGGCCCTGGCTGAAATCCCCCTGGGCTAGTGATCCCAGAGCCTGGGCCACGGGAGCTGAGCCCAGGACACACCAGAGCGACAGGAGAACAGGAGAAGCGGCTCTCTCTCTTTCTCTCTCTTTAATTCTGGTTTCTCTCAAGCTTCCAAATGGTGCTCAGTGCTCCAAGGAAAGAATGAAGGAAGGAAAGGGGGGAGGAGTGGAGGGGGCAGAGGAGGAACATCTGGAAAAAAGCAGCCTGACAGTCCAGCTGTTTGCGAACTCATGGCACACCCTCCAGTTACATGGCAGAAGAGGGAGGGAGGGAGGGCCGAAAAGAAAAGGGGGGGAGAAAAATAACTGAAATAAACACACACACAAAGAAAAAGAGGAACATGACGTGAGTTGGTGATCCATGAGGCGGGCGGGAAGGAGGGAGGGAGGGAAACGGCTTTACCTGTGCTGAACCAGGGGGGGCAGGAGGAGGAGGGGCGGGCAAAAAACCAGACATCGGGATAAGGGGAGGGAAGACACGAGACAACTTAATACAACTGGAGACGAGGCCCGGCCGGCGGGTCCCGCGCTGGCCTCTGGAATCCTCCGTGCAGGGGCTGGTGGTGACGGTGCTTCTGGGGTAGGGGGCCGAAGGCAGGGCACAGTCTCTAAGCGGCTCCCCTCACCCGCCTGGGGCGGCCCCAGAGGGCAACAAGAGTCTGTGGGGAGGCTGATGGTGGCGGCAGCGGCGGGGCACTGGTGTTCCCCGTGGCGGGCAGGTGGCCGTCCTCTTCGCTGGCCCCCCAGCTTGGGACAGGCCAGCGTGCCAGGCGGGAGCCGGAGTACAAGCTCGAGAGAGAGAGAGAGAAAATACTGAGAGAGCATTAGTGGAGGTGCCAGGTGGACAGACAGCCGATGGACACACGGTGCCCAGCCCCCCACTGCCCCTCCTCCCACCCCATCCCTGTGAGGCAAAATAAAAACGTAGAAAAAATCTGTACAGAATCCCCACGGGAGGGAACAGGGGACAGGGATGGCGGCTCATCCTGGAGCCCGTTCCCCACAAACTAATTTACACCCCAAGTCCATGGCTCAAAAACAAAATGATCCGCGTGGGCGGTGTGGAGGCAGCACTCAGGAGGCGGGCAGCTGTGCCAGGCCGAGTGGCACTGAGGCGGGCAGCTGTGCCAGGCTGAGGCGGCACTCAGAAGGCAGGCAGCTGTGCCAGGCCGAGGCGGGCAGCTGTGCCAGGCTGAGTCGGCACTCAGAGGCGGGCAGCTGTGCCAGGCTGAGGCAGCACTCAAAAGGCGGGCAGCTGTGCCAGGCTGAGGCGGCAGTCGATGCTGGTGCTGTCGGGGCCCGTGTAGGCCAGGCCCAGGGGCTCTAGGAAGGCCCGGCAGGCAGCCTCGCCCTCGAAGGCCAGCTCGGCCTGCAGGTAGGAGACGGGCAGCGCAGGGCGGAAGCTAGGGAACAAGAGAGAATGTGATGAGGGGGGTAGTGGGAGGGGGGCCCCACCAGCCTGCAGTGGGCACCCCCATTCGGGCACCCAGAGACATTCCTCAGCACCTGTGAGCTGACACGCACGCCCACACCCACCTCCCACCTTGGGAGCTTGGGGGGCCCTGGGTGCAACTGGTGGCCCCAACCCCGGCAGCACCCCCCTTACCCTCACTTACCTGCACAGGGGTGGGGGATGGGAAGGGCCCAGCTGGCCGCTCAGAGGCGGGCCTGCCATGCAGGGCAGTGTTGGGGGGCCGGCAGGGCACAGGTCACAACTGACTACAGCCCTCCAGGAAACCCTAAGTACCCGCCAAGTCCCTGGCCGCCCACTGAAGCCACTAAAAGCTACGGTCAGCCCTGACCCCGCCCGCCACAACCAGAGAACCTCGACGACTTGCCCGTGGCACCCAGCCAGGGTCCTTGGGGCCCTGCGTGCTGAGTCCAGCCTCTGCCACAGAGCACACCCAGACAGACACACCCAGAGCAGCCAACTCTGACCACATGACACTGGGAGCTCCAGGAACCCCATGGCAGGTCAGTGGCACCCACTGATGCCAGAGCACCCTGGGACCGACTCCCCGAGACACCAGGCGCACAGAGCCGCGCCTGCCCTGGCCCCAGGGAGCAGGGAGACACCCGCTCTGGGTAGCACAGTGCAGAGGAAGCAGAGCCCCTGACAGGCCCAGGAAGCCTGTGATCGAGAGGAGCGAGAAGGGCAGGCCCCAGAGACCACAGGGTCAGTGGCCGTGAGAAGCAGGAGAGACGGTGGGGGAGCCCCCGAGAGGGCAGCAGTGGGAGCACAGGGGAGCGGCAGGCAGAGCAGCTCAGCGGCACATACGTTTTGATCATGGCCTTGAGAGCGGCCTTGCGCTCTCGGTCCGCAAACTTGTCTACGAGGTAGCCGGACATGCAGGGTGCGTGCTGGTAGAGCCGGAAGAAGCGGTGATAGTTGCCCAGAGCCCACGCAGCCCTCAGTGCCAAGGCGTGGGCCACACATGGGTCCGCCTTCAGGGCCCGCGTCAGGTAGGCCAGCTCCGTGGTGATATCTGCGTGGACAAGACGGGTCAGCAAGGCCTGCTGGCTCATGGCCCACAGGGGCAGGGGCAAGGCAACGGGCCTGACCTCCTGAGTTCTTGGTAAAGATGTAGTACAGGATCCGGTAGGCAGTGAACTCGCCCACGTTGCCTGGCAGGTTCTCTGCATACAGAGACTTGAGCTGTGTCTGACACTGATTAAACTCTTCATGGTCCCCCTGGAAGGCAGGACACAGAACATGGAAGCAGCAGATGGCGTGGGGGCGCTGGGCAGGGTGCTGGGGTGGGGCATGGGGGTGCAGGGCAGGGTGCTGGGGTGGGGCGTAGGGGTGCTGCCGGGCAGGGTGCTGGGGCGGGGCAGGGCGTGGGGGCACCGGGCAGGGTGCTGGCGTGGGGCGTGGGGGCGCCTCACCTTTTCCAGGGCGATGCGTGCGTGAGTCTCGTACACCTCTACCGTGAACTCAGTCCGGATGCCTTGTACCTGGAGGAGAGGGGACAGAGTAAGGCCCAGTGGCAGAGCGGCACACGCGCCAGGCAGGCCGCCCAGCCCCTCACCCACCGTCAGGTCCTGCCGGATGGACTTCATCTGCTCGCAGGCAAAGGCGTAGTCCTGCTTCTCCTTCCAGTGGGTCTTCACCATGCACAGCGATTTCTTCAGAACCTGTGGCCAGGTACCAAGCCCACCTGGTGACTACCGCCCAGAGAGGGTGCCCGAACCGCCCGCGGGCCTGCCCACCCAGCACTCACCGCCACAGGCCGCACAGTAGACGGGTCAGGGGCACAGGTGAGACGCAGGTAGTGCTTGGTGATGTCAGGGCAGGTGCCCACGATCTGCAGCTCCTGCCAGTCGGGGTCGGCGCCGCCGTCCAGGCCACTCACGTGCAGCACCAGGGGCTCAAGGCGCAGGCGGCGGGAGTGCGCATGCTGGAAGCGGGCGGCGCGCCTCTGCTTCTTCAGCTCACGCTCGGGGTCCTCGCACTCCGCCAGGGCCAGCTTCCGGCGGCTGCGCTTGCTGGCGGCAAGATCGTGCCTGGGGTGGGGAAAGGGACGGGATGGGCTGTGTGCTGCGACAGCCCACTGTGGCAAAAGCGCCTGCCCGCACAACACTCACCTCTTCCCACGCTGCGCCCGGCCTCTGCCCCGATCCATGTGGGCTCCCCGGCCCCCCCGGCCCTTGGGGGGCGGGTTCCTGCGACCCACAGGACGACATTCGGTCCCCGAGTCGGAGGTGTCGGAGTCCGAGTGGGAGTCACTGCATGGAGGCCATGAAGGTGAGTGGAGCACCCTTCCCAGGGCCTCCACCAGCCCCCACCCACCCCAGCCGCCCCCCACCACACACACCTTCGGCGGAAGTGGCGGGTCGGGGAGCGGGAGGAGGAGCGGGAGCGGGAGTCCGTGCTGGAGGAGGAGCTGTTGTCCTTCATGAAGACATTGCGGTTGCCAAACTTGGCGAAGCTGCTGCCCCGGGCTCGGCCAGCACCCCCAGCCCCTGGAGTCCCGCGCTGGGACTGGGCACCCCCGCCCCGTGGCGTAGAGCCTGCCCCCCTGGGAGGGTGAAGGCTGCTAGGGGCCTCCCACCGCTTCTTCTTGGGGCTCTCGGCCACAGGCTCCCGAGTCAGCCTGAGGATATAGCAGGGCAGGGCCATCACCAACCCGGCGTCCCCCGGCCCCCAACATCTGCCCACCGCCCCGGGACACACGCCCGCGGAGAGGAAGGGCACTTACCCCGTGACGCAGCTAGCGGCTGGGGAAGGGAGGCGCGCGGTGCCGAGAGGGCGCTGCACGCCGGGCCACGCCGCACTCCGGCCACGGTGGCCGCCCCCAACAGGACTTGCCTGGGCCAGGCCCGGGCCTTGGTCCCCCCGCGCCCCACCAGGACCCAATTCTCCCACTCCCTTTCTTGGGGCCCAGGCACTGAGCACTGCAGCGCGTCCACTTCTGTGCCAGGCCCCTCCCCCGCAGAACCCCCACAGGCCCGCCGGGCCTCACCCCGGCAGAGGCTCGCGGCTCCAGTCAATGGTGTAGGCTGAGCCGTCCTGCAGCCGCGCCTGCAGCAGCTCCTTCAGCAGCTTCTCCGTCCGGTCCTTGTCTTCCTCCGACTCGCAGGCCGTGAAGCAGCGCTCCACGTACTCCTTCATGTCCTGCGGCCAATCGTCCGGCTTCCCCGAGAGAGTCCCCCTGGGGACAAGGGCAAGACTCAGCAGAGACCCTGAGGCACCTCCTTCGGGCCAGGAGGTGGTGCTGGGTGGAAGGGCTCACCTGTGGCTCTGGGCCTTCTCGGGGTTTGGCTGGGGGCCAAAAGTGCTGTGCTGGCCATCTGCAGGGGAGCCGAAGTTCTGGTTGGTGACAGCATACGGCCGTTTCTGAATGTTGAACTTGAGTCCACCAGTGCCAGGGGCAGCTGTGGGCAGCAGAGCAGAGGTCAGGGCCCTCAGGGCCCACTTGGGGCAGGCTCCCCCCCCCCCCCACACAAAAACTGATGGGAGGCAGAGCCAGGAGCCCGGGCCATCACAGTGCCCCGCCTGCCATGGCCTACTCACGCTTCATGCGGTTCCACAGCTGCTGGCCTTTCTTGGGCTTGGTGGGCTCAGGGTAGGAGTGTGGTGGCCCAAACGCAGGGCCCGCAGCCGGGCCGGCCTGGCTGTGCTGCGAGGTGGGCGCCGTGCCAGGCTGGGGTCCGCTGCTCAGTGCCCGGGCCCCATGTGGGGTGTTGGAAGGCTGAGGGGGCTGGGCTGCCGGCAGCTGCTGAGGGGGTGCCTGGTAAGTCATCCCTTCATCCATGCCGGGAACTGGGGGCTGGAGGGAAAGGCGGAAGTTCAGGAGGAGCAGCGTTCTCTGGGGCCTTCCAGCATTCCTGCCCTTTTGCCTCTCACTGACCCTGGGCACAGTCTCGAAGGCTGGGACCTACGCAACTCTGCCATGCACCAGGGTCCCACACCCAGAGCGACAGCGGGGTGAACCCCAGCAGACAGGAAAACTGAGGCAGCGGGCACATAGCGTCAAACCAGCTCCAGGGGAGCCAGCATGAGGGCCCTGCCTCCTGTACCCTCCAGCAGTACCCATGGCACATGCGCCCGCACACGCGCGCACACACACGCACACACACTCACTCACTGAGATGCCACACCTGTCTGTGGAGCACAGCTGCCCTAGTCCACCACACAGGCACTGAAGCCAGCTAGAGCAGGGCAGCTGCAGGGAGTGCGAGCTCCCCACAGCTGGTCCCGTTCTCCAATTCCAGGAGCCCCCCAGGATTTACCTGGTTCAGAGTTCCTTGGTGCTGGGGCGCCGACGGCTGTTGTGGGGAGGCTGACCCATAGGAACTGGCCATCCCATACTGGGAAGGTGACCCGTAACTCTGGTACATGCTCTGCAGAGGAGACAGGAAGGCAAAAGCTAGCAGTGTCCCAGCCTGCCCCACGAGCCCCGAAGCCCTCTTTTGGCCCCACCCTCTTCCCCACCACACATAAAGCAGCTGAGATATTCGGGTTTGGAGAAACAGGAAGTGAATGTCTTGGTCCCGTCCCCTTCCTTTAACTCCCAGAAGCATCCTGCTATTCAAACCTCAATCAGCCCAGCTCTGCCAGGCCCCATGACAGAAGTGGAAAGACACCATACTCCAGGGCGTGCCAGGCATGTGAACTGCAGCCGAGCAAAACCACACAAAGAAACGGGCAGAGTAGGGCAAGGCTTTCAATGAAATAATTCATTTGCCAGACAATGGGGTGACCTTGAGAAGGGTGCTCGTGGGGCAGGGGCTCACCATGGGGTAGTAGTAGCTGTAGGGGTAGGCGTAGCTGTACTGCTGGTACCATTGGTAGTACTGTTGCTGCTGCAAAGCTGAGGCTTCTGCCTGGGACACGTACTGTGGGGAGAGGACGCATGGTCTCAGTGTGGCGGCCCCGGGCATGTCTCTGCCCTCAAGGAGGACAGGCCTGGATCGCTCCCCAGCCCTCACATAGCTTCTCACCTGAGCGCTGGCCACAGGCCCATTGCTGCTGGCCTTGGTGGAGCTGCCAGCAGCACCTGCCTTGCTGATGCTGGCCAGGGCCTGGCGGGCCTTCTCCCACTCCGGGTTCTCATGCATGGGCGTCTCCAGGCCATTCTCTCTTCCTGCCCCTGCCACCATGCTGTACTGAGAGGGCCTGCAGAGATGGGCAGTCAGTAGGGTCTGCGGGCCCCACCCCGCACTGTCTGTAGAGCCTGAGCTTTGTTTGGTCACTGCTGACTCACTGGTGACCAGCATGGGCCACACAGTAACAGAGGAATGAGGTCACCGATCCAGGAGGACCAGTTTCAGGGGCCGGGTCACAGCTTGGATAAAAAACAATGGACCAGAGGCTGACTGGAGGGCCCAAAGGCTCAAGAATCAAGGAGCTGTATGTGAGACCTCCCTGGCCAGTGGGTTCTGATCACACTGTTGCTGAGAAACTAGCACAGCACAAAGGCAAGTGAGTAAACAGCCAGTGCAGAAGGCTGCCTGGGATGAGCCAGGGCGCTGGGTCAACACAAGCCACAGGCTGAGGTGAAGCTCAAGTCTCCACAAGGCAGCCAGGAAGGCCTCGTTCCCCACCACCACTCTTGCCCCCAGGGCCAGGATCCCCACACCCCACTAACCAATCCGTGCTCCGTTGATCACCCACATTGGCCGCCATCTGGACCTTGGGGTGTAAGGGGTGGACCTCGGGAGCCAGAATGCTTCCTCACTGTTCACGAAAGAGAGAACAAGTTAGGGAAATCCCACACCTGGCAAAGGAGAGATGAAACAGAGATTCTGAGCACTGGACTGAACTAAAAGTGTGGAAAACTCCAGGTGCGCAGAGGTGAGGCTGGGGGTGGGAGACAGGATCTGAGAGCAGGAGGTCTAAAGGAGCTTCCCCAAGGGAAGGGGGTCCTGGAGGAATGAGGACTCCCGGGAGCCCCATGAGTGGGGTGGGAGTGGAAGGTGGGAGAAAGGGGACCTCCCCCCCCCAGGCCAAACCCCCAGGGACACAGAGAAGGGGCCTCCTGAAGGGGCTTCTGCAGGTAAAAAGAAGCCAAACCAGCCCATGGAGCCCCAATGCCCTAAAGTCCTTTTCTGAAAGCTCTGAGGAGTCAGAAGCCCCAGGAGGCAGAAAAGACCCCAGATGGATAAAAGTTCCCAGCTAGGGGTCTGGAGAAAACTAAAGTGGGGAAAGGCCCCCAAAGATCGCTGCCTGGGGGTCAGTACAGTGAGTCGGGGGCTTGTCTTACATGTGGCCAACCGCATGGGGTCCTCAGAGCCCCTCCAGGAGTGATCCCCAGCGCAGAGCCTGGAGTGAGCCCTGAGCAAGGCCCCAGGACGACACAAAATAGTCTGGGTAGTCTCAAGGGCGGGTCTCGCGGGGCAGCCCAATATGAGTGTGGTCACGACAGGGGGAGGGGGATTGTCTGTAGGTCACCGGGAAAGCTTCAAGGGACTGGAGGGTCCTGAGTTGGGGGTGCCCCGGGACCGGAAACTAAGTCGGGGCTGGCCTGAGGGTCCTGTATGACCCTGGAAGGCGGCCACGGGTGATCTGTGGCCACGGGCCGCCCCGCGGGCCCCGGAGAGGCAGAGGGCGCCGGGGGAGGGACAAGGCGCCGCGCCGCGTGTGCGCACCACGTCCCCGGGTAAGAAGGGGAAGGTGGCACGCGGCCCGCCGGTCGCCCGGGGCAACGCCGAGTTCGGTGGAACCACCGGGTCAATGGCAGGGGGAGGAAAAGCGCGGGGGGGTGGGGAGCCCCGAATTCCAAGAAAGCCAGAGCGGGGGAGGGGCGGCGCCCAACAGCGCACGCGCGAGTTGCGGGCCGCGCGCACCACCCGTTGCGCGCAAGCGCGGCGGCCACCGGGGCCGCGCCACACCCTAGCGACGCTCGCGCGCCGTCCGTTGGTGCCCGGGCCGTGGGGACCAGAAGCCGAAGGCAGCCGCCGTGTCTCCCGTGTCCTCCCGCCCGCCGCTGCCCGCACCCACCTCGGCCGCTCGCCCCCGGGACTCGTCAGCAGCGGCCCAAGGCTGGAGGTCCAAGGCGGCGGGACTGCTCGCGACCTGGGGGCTCCGGTCTTCCCAGGGCTGCGACGGTCTCGCCGCGGCGTCCTGACGTCACGCGAGCCGGCGCTCCCCCGCCCCTCGGCGCGGCCCAGCCAATGAGCGCCGCGTTCTTCGCTCGGGCCCGCCCTCCCACCTACGCAACGACGCTGCGCGCTTTCGGGCAAGCCGGAAGACGGGACGCGGACGGTAGCCCCGAGGGGACAAGCGCGGCCGGTTGACAAGCCCGCTGCTGAGCGCTGGCACGCAGCCTTGTGTAGGGGCGGCCGGCTGGTAGCCATTGTTATTCCTTAGTGTATAACAGGGGAAATGGGAGTCGTGTGGCCACCCACCGAGCAGCGGAAGCCCAGAGAGGATCAGGCGATGAGCCTGTGCCGGAAAAGGGACGCCGCCTGGTGGGGTCAGCCCCGTGCACCTCCCTGTTAGGGCCTCGCAAGCCGCTGTTGGAACGCGCCATCTGCTTTCCTGGGCTTCGGCCAGTGAGGCCGCCCAGCCCGGGCCGGGGAGCGGCCACAGCCTTTGGGGCAGGTGGTCGAATTAGTAGCCAAGGGGCGATCGCCGCCTCCACCGTGTTCTAAGAATTTTTGACAGCTGCGTATCGTTCGTACTACTGTCAGAAGCTCAGTTGATCTTTTCCCATTCTTTTAAAGTCTAGCTTTTCCATAATTTAGATTTTAAAACAGTTGTGACAAACACCAAAGACACCCATGCTGGCACCCTCTAGGCCTGTGCCCTAAACGTGCAGGTAATCGGGCCCTGGGCTTGCCTGGATGGCATCGCCCCACCCCCACGCGCGAGTCCAGCTGGGGATCCCGCTTGTGCGTTGCAAGTCTTGCAACTTGCCTTTCACCCCTGTTTGCGCTGCAGGCTCTTGAGAAAGGTGTTTATGAGCTGCCCTCTTAATGTGGCTAAATATATCCTCTTGTTCTCTGTTTGCAATTCCTCCCACCTTTCTTTGTTCTTATTTTCATGCCTTCTTTTGGCTTGAGCATTGGGAGGGGAGGGGTAGCAGAAGGCAGGTTTTGGAACAGTTGGCGGTGCAGAGAGAAACTGAAGACAAAGTGCAGCTGTCCCTCCACCCATTCCACACACAGTCTCCCACTCTAGCAGCCTCCATCCTGAGTGGAACACTTGTTACTCATCATTACACAAGGCCTTCCAGGGCATCTCATCTAGAGTTCAAGCCACCCAGGAGGCCCCGAGCACTGTACAGCAAAGCCCTATAGCCTGTTTGTTCATCTGTGCAGTCTTTTTCCTTTTTGTGGGGGTGGGGGTGGGTTACACCCAGCAGTGCTCAGGGATCACTCCTGGCAGGAACCATATGGGATGTTGTGCATCAAACCAAGCTTGGCCATGTGCAGGGCCAGCTCCCTCCCCGCTGTACTATGGCATGGCCTTAGAGTATCCTTTTCCCCCCTAATTGCTGCTCTTCAGGCTTTCTTCTTCATCACTGGTGGGGGGCTGTTTGACTGGGCCGTCCTGGTCACGTTTCTACCTGGCGCTTGCCACCTGCTGGTTCTTTGGTCTCCAGTTCTCTGCTTTTCTCTCCTGACTTCTCACAGAGTTTCTGCTGCCATGTCCCTGAGCACGTCATTCTGCTTTTCCATTAAAGGAAGTTCCCCATTCATCATCTTCACACCTTCCTCCTTCAACCCAACCTGGCGGCGTACCTGCACGTTCCTGCCTGCGTCTATGCCTGCCTATCTGTGCTCTGGGTCTGTTTCCCTGTATTTGGCTGTTTTTCCAAGGGGACCCCAATCTGCACAACCCATGGAGCTGCTGACTTTTCTCCCCATGACGCATCCTGCTTTCCCTTGGCCCATGTGCACACCTGCCTGCATGCACACCTAGTTGTACCCCGAATCTTCCCTTGTGGGGCCCTGGCTGTGTCCACCTCCCTGCCCAGGTACTTGCCCTTTGCTCTGGGAAGCAGTTGAGGAGCTGCGTGGTCCTTTCATGTCTGGCTCCCGAGCTGAGCAGAGCACACAATCCCTGTGCCCCAGCTTTCAGTAGTGCCTGTGGGCCTCAGCACCCCTCCATGAGGGGGTCTCACACTGTCAGAGGCTGCGTCCCCTCCCTGAGCCTCTGGCGTGCCTGCCACTGCCCCCTGGCAAAGTGTGTCCACAGCTCTGCCCCTCAGCTGCGGCTCTCTAGGCTTGTTCTGTGCATTTGGCCTTCCTGGGCTGCCCAGCTGAGTGGGGCTGAGCACTCCCCATCCAGCCAGCACCTGCCTCAATGTTCCTCCAAGAACCCGTCACAGTGGGCCGTGCCCTGGAAGGACTCAGTCTCCCTCTGCACACCTGGTTTTTCCTAGATCGTTTCTGGAAGGAGAGTGGGACAACCCCCATTACTCCATCCCGGGAACTTGCTACAGCCCATGCGTGAAAACCAACAGGCCCTGCATTTGGGGGTGTGCCCAGGAGCCCTCCAACTGCTCCCCAGGGCTAAGGCTCTCTGGGCGCTGGACACACAGTGTGATACACGCTCTGGCCACAGGGATGGGCAGGGGCCTGCCGGGCCATGGCAACTCCTCTGGCCAGGGAAGGTGGATCAGCACAGGGCACCCACACCCTTGCCTGGAAACTGCCTCCATCTCCCAGCTCAGCACCCACATTGGGAAGCCCGCACACTTGGGCATCCTGGCAAAACTCCAGAGGCAGCAATGTGCTGTGTCTGCCTCTGTGTCCCCCTACCCAGCAGGGGACCCCCCCCCATCCTGCGTGATGCATTTGGGGTGCAGGAGTGCTGAAGGCAGGGAGGCGCTTCAGTAGGGAAATCACTGGCTTTGCTGCCCGCTGAGTGGCAGCACACTCCTGGGCCCACAAGGGCTGGGCAGCGTCTTAGCACCCCATTCAGTGCAGTGGCCCATAGCCACATGGGTCAAGGCAGGGAATGGGAGAAAGCTCAGGGCTGGCTCCTGCCACTGCCAGCTCAGGCCTCCCCCATCTCCCCCTTCCCAGACTTCCGGCCCCACAGGCCAGGCCACCATGTCCTGAGTGGGACCCGCCAGTTCCCAGAATGGCTTCCCTGGGTCTCGGGATAGCTTGGGGCATCCATCTAGATTCCAGCCAGCTCCCTCCTCCACGGGGGCGGTCTACAGCCCTTGGTGCCCCACCCCCCACCCCAGCCTTCTGGTCTTCATGGAAGGTCATCTGTGTACTGCTGAGGGGGAAAAGGGGGAGGGCAGCCACCGCATGGTTCAGGCGACACCTCCTAATGGCCGGGGTCAGTCCCTCTCTGCCTGTTTTCTCCTGGGATGGCCACATAGTGCTGAAGCAGCTCTCAGCCCCTGAGGTGTCCAGCACCCTCCTTGGGTGTGGAAAGGCTAAAGGCTAAAGGAGAGGTAGCAGAGCAAGGAGACGTTTGCCTTACTCAGCCAACCCAAGTTCACCCCCAGCACCACATAGGGTCCCCCAAGTCCAGCCAGGAGTGATCCCTGAACCCAGAGTCAGGAGTCAGATCTGAGTACTGCCAGAAAGGCAAAGAAAGGGAGCAAATGCACTGACTGCACCTGGGCTGTGTGGGGCCCAACCAGTGCAGGGCCAGGTCGGCCAGCAGGTCTGAGAGCTGGACCATGCTGCCCCAACCTCAGCTCCCCTCCACCTCATGCCTACTTGTTTCCATCCCACAGTGGGTCTGAGAAGTTCTCTGCCCCCCTGCGACTTGAGGTCTCGCCCAATCTTGCCCCTCCCAATGCCCAGCTGTCCTCAGCCTCCTTGTTCCTCCCATCCTGGGAGCTAGGTCTCTTCCCGCCTGCAAGCAGTCTTGTGTGCAGGACGGGGTGCCTTCCTGCCACCCCGAAGCCACCTGCGCACCTGAAGACCTGTTTCCAGCCCACTCTATGCGGGGCCTTGCCCTGTCTTCTCCAGACAAGCACACTCCTTTTCGAGTCGGGGAGAACGTTGTTAGTATTCACTGTGAAAGAACCGTCTCATGGCGGGGGTGGTACACAGCTAGGGCGCCGACTCCACTACACACGGCCGCTCCACTCCTGACCTGCGTGTGTTCCGGGGCGCACCCACAGGCGCACCCTGCACCTTTGTACTGAACTGAGGCCCAGTGTCTGAGTAAAGCCAAAGGAGGCCCTGAGCACCCTCAGGTGCCCCCAGATAAATCCCCTTTGGAACTGCTGCAGAGACTTCCAAGAGTGCCCGGCTGGACAGGGGTGAGGAGGGCTGCGGCTGGTAAAATAAAGTCCCTTTTATTTGAGTCACTGCTCCCGTGTTAGTGCTGCAAGTGGCCCCTTCCAGACGGGTCCGGGGCTGTCCCTCACCTCACCCGCGGGCCGGAGGCAGCTGCGTGGGGTGTCCATGGCCAGGGGCGTCATAAGTGGGGGGCCCAGTCAGGCTGGTTAGTGGGGTCTCCTCCGGCTGCCGGGGAGGGCCCTGTGGAGAGACAGATGGTTCATGCAGGTGGGGGTCCCGGTGATGGTGGGAGGGGGGCAGGGAGAGGCTGCAGGGGGGTGGCTATAGGGCTCACCGGAGAGGGGGGACAGACTCGGGCCTGGTGCGGAGGAGGGGCTCAGATAGATGACTGCCACTGCACGAAGCGCTTGGATTCCTGCGGGAGGCGGGCATGGGTGAGGGGCAAGGCCCATGCTGGGCCCTCCCCTCCTCCCTCAGGCCAGGGCCAGGCCTACCTGAGGGTTGAAAGGGTCGTCATCATCTGTGTCATCATAGTCGTCACTGGGGTGCGATGCGGGGAGTGGCAGAGAAGCAGGATGGGGGATCCATCAGGAGGCTGACCCCCCCACTGGGGCCCGTGGGTGCGCCCCTCCCCCTGCCCCCAGGCCCCGGCCCTGGGCGCTCCTGACCTGGGCGGGAAGAGGGCCCAGGCGCGGGGTAGGCTGCAGAGGGCTGCGGCCAGGGCGCCAGCAGACAGCAGAGAGAAGAGCAGCAGGAACAGCAGCCCCTCCAGGGCGTCCTCACACACACCCCGCAGCGCAGCACTGTAATCCTGGGGGGTGGGCTAGTCAGCGCAGGGCCCTCCGGTCTAGCCCGGCCTGGTGGCTTCCCACCCAGCCGCACAGGAGCTGCAGGCTGTGGAATTCCCCCAACCCCCAGCCACCTCCAAATTTGCTCTCCGCAGCTTGGCCAGGGATCCTGGCTGGGCATCGCTCCAGTTATACCACCCACCCACCCACCCTGCTGCCGGTAGGGAAGGAGCCAGGGCCCCATGGGGGGGAGAGTGCGGTGGGCGTCAATTTAGACCCCGCCATCTCCCACCCACCAGCAGGTGCCCCTAGTGCAGGGTCTGGGGACAGAAAAGGGTTGGTCAAGTTAGGCTGGGAGAGACTCACTGGGCTGCTGCAGATGGGGACAGGCAGGGGGGGGAGGGGGGTCAGGGCAGCGGGTCAGGGAGAGGTGGGGGCAGGAAAGAGGTGGGGGTTGGGGAAGAAGTGTGGGGGGCAAGGAGAAGTGGGGACGGGAGAGGTATGGGGGGCAGGGGAGAGGTAGGACCAGGAGAACTGGGAGGTGGGAGAGGTGTGGGGAGCAGGAGAGGCGGGGGCAGGGAGGGTTGAGGGGGGGCAGGAGAGGCCTGGCAGGGAGAGGGTTGTAGGGCATCAAGGAACAGAATGATGGCAGCACTGTGAGCCCACGGGGACCAGAATTTGCTGGGAACAATTGTGGGAATCCCTAGGGGCTGTGGGGTGCCTGGGACCAAGTCCTGGCAGTAGTAGGTTGGGGGGGGGGGTTCTATGCAGTGCCCCCACCCTGTCCTGCAGGGCAGAGATCTGTCCCTTCAGCCACAGGCACACATTGATGCCTTTTGTAAAGAGAAAAGTGGAGCCCAGAGTGGGCAAGCCACTTGCCCAGAGCCACAGACCCCGGAGGGGCCCATCTGCTCCCAAGTCCTCTCCAAGCCCTGGTAGGGTGGTGTCTCCTGCGGGACAGACAGACCTTGTTCTTTTCACGGAGGCCTTGGGGAGAGTGCCAAGGTCTCAGTGCCCTTGGGCATGAGAGCAGGGCAATTGGGGAGGGCGCCACCCCCAGGGGTCTGTCCCATGAGTGAGGCCCTGCTCTGTCTGCAGAAAAACCCAGTGCGGTGACCTCCCTGCGTGCCAGCCACTCTGGGAGAGCTGGGGTGGGAGCAGATGTTTAAACCAGAGGAAATGCTGCCCGCCCAGCTGGGGGCTCAGGAGCAGAGGTCATGGTCCTCTTGGCACCCACTCCCCACCTCTTATCTTGGGGTCTGAGTCTCAAGTGCATTCCCTTCTTAAGGTGTGAATTCTGGGGGGCCAGGGACACCTGCATGCACTGGGTGACCTATTGTGAAGGCCCTCCCAGCTGCCAGGGTGGCAGGTGGGTCACTGGCATCTCACAGGGGACGGGAATGAGGCCGGGCTGCAGCCAAGGCAATACCAGAAGAGCGCGGACGGCAGGCAGCCTTTGGGGGAAGCCCAGGTGCCAGCACTCTGCACCCTGAGCTTTTCAGGAGCTCACCCTGATACCACAGCGGTATGGTGACAGGAGAGGCTGAGAGTGGGGACGGGAACCTTTCTCGCTCCTGACTTCTCTAAGCTGGGAGAGGCTGGAGGGAGGGCCGCAGGAGGAAGATTGCTAGGAGGGAAAAGTCCGCCCGGTCGGACGGGGTCCCGGGGAAAATAGTGTGGGAGGGGGCAGAGTGGGGAGGAGAGGAAGGTCACCTTATTTAGGCTGCGACAGTGCAACAGTGCCACCAGCTGGTGGAAGTTTCCTTCTGTCACGTTCAGCGTCTCCTCCAAGGACAGCAGAGGCTTCTGTGATGGGAGGGGCTTCGTTTTCCCACCTACCCCCACGACGAATACTGGGCTCCGCCCGCAGCGCTTGGTCCCGCCCACAGATAAGCCCCGCCCGCTCCCAGGCCCCGCCCAGCCCATTGGCTCGGCCCTCTCCAAATGTCCACACCTACTGGTTCACAGGCTCCAAAAGTCCCGCCTACAACCGCGACTCGCCCCCTAGAGCCCCGCCCAAATCTAAGACACGCCCCTTCCTAAGGCCCCGCCCACTACCTCGGATTCGCCCCAAGTCCTGCCCAAGCCCACCCGGGCTCGCCCATCTGCTCAGGCCCCTCCCAGGACCCCCCGATTCTCATGAATTTGGGGTGCTGCAGAAGCGTACCCACCTGCACAGAAGGGAACTGGGGGACGGCTTCTCTCTCCAGGCCCTGCAGCTGCGAGTGGATGTTGGCCAGAGCTCGCTGGGACAGAGTCAGTCTCTGCAGAGACAAGGAGGGTGGAGAGCCCCGTGGTGACGCCCCCAGAGCCCCCGAGCCCCGCCCGGCCCTCCACTGCACCCGCGCTCCCAGCCCTGACCTGTTGAAAGGGGTTGGAGACGGCGTGGTTGCAGAGGAAATAATAGCCCAGGATGTCTGAAAGGGCGAGAAGGGAGGCTGTGAGCAGGCCCCAGCGCCGCGTAGAAGGCAGGGTGAGGAGGGGCAGGGGACCCCGTGCTCCTCATACTTCTCAAGTCCTGATCTCTCCAGCTCCAGTCAGTGGGAGCGCGGGTCTCTCTCAAGACTTCCTGGGAGCCCTCCTCCCTGGGCAGAATGCCCACACCCCCATCCCTCATCCAAGGGGCAAGCCCCCACGCCCTTCACATCTCCTCTTTGTGTCTAGGGGAGGTACAGAGCAGAGCGCCTCCCCCTGGCGATGCTCTGGGCCTGCACGTGCATGGGGTCACCTGAGCCCAGCCCCGTCTCCTCCTGGGTCAGGTTCAGGAGGTAGGTGTCTGGACTGGAGCAGAAGTCACTCAGGCCCTGTGTGCGGCAGAGGAAAGGAAGCTCAGAAACTCAAATTCCTGGCCCCCAGCTCCGCGGGCAGACCCAGGATCCCGGTGCCCCCAGCACCCCCCTCAGACTCAGGAGTCCTGTTCCCCAGCCTCCTCCCTCAGACCCAGTTCTCCAGCCTCCTCCCTCAAAGCCAGGACGGCACCCAGAAACCCACTGCAACCCAAGCTCCAGAGGTCAGGCCTCGCCACTCACCACAGCTGTCGCTGCCTCCAGGCCCATGGAGCCCCAGCTCAGGATGAGAACCAGAAGACTCATTACCGTCATCCTGGAAGGGAGCAGGGACAGGGCTTGGACCTGGGCTTTGGGGGTCTGAGTCTCCCCCTCCCCCCACCTCTGCCCTTCCCACCGGCCAAGTCCACTACCAACCCCACAGCTCTAAGGGCCAGAGTTAGGGGCAGAGAAGTGGGTAGATGGGGACTATGACACCACCATCAGTTTTGACCGCCTAGCCCAGCATCACCCTGAGACTCGGGTGTGGCTGATCACCTCTGGCTCCATTTCCGTCCCCCCATCTCCCCTTCTCCCAACTCTGCTGGCTCCTCCCCAGGGGTCACCCTTTCACTGGGGAAGGGTGTGGGGGCTCAGCGCTGGGGGTCGTCCGATGGGAACGGCTCTGGGAGAGACTCAGAGCCCAGTGCCGGAGCTGAGGAGCAGGCATCATCAGTCAGGGATGGGGGAGGGGGGCGCGGTTGCGCTGGGCCAGCAGGACCCCCTGCCCGGCCCGCCAGTGTGCACCCACTGGAGGTTCCCAGATGAGACAGGTGGTGCCAGCCCCAGACGGAACTCCAGCGCATCCTGGCTGTGTGACCTGGCAAGTGTCCGCACCTCTGTCCAAGGGGAAGAGCCCCAAAACCCTCTATGAGAAGGGTAAGGGAGGGGCTGGACTGGCCCCCAGTGGACTCTCAGGGCCCCTGTCTGCAAGGGGTAGGCTGGAGACCCCCACTTTCCACATGGCAGGGTCCCAAGGTGAGGGTCGTGCACTCACACCACCACCAGCCACTTGCTCTGCTTGGCCAGGCCCAGGAGGGTGAAGAGGCAGACGAGCAGCTGGAGCAGCAGCAGGAGTACGTAAGCCAGCCACCTGGGGACGGGCACGAGAGGGGCCAGCTCAGGACCGCCTTCCCCCGCAGCTGCGAGGCGCATGCGCCGCTGGGTCTCCTCCCACTGCACCGGGGCCAGGTTTGGGTTGAGGTCATGGCAGGAGCACCGCCACCCCCGGCCACACTGGGGCACTCACCTGTACTCTTCCACGAAGGTGACATCTTCAGCCACTTGCAGGGGGCTCAGGGGCACCCCCTGCCAGAAGGCCAGTGCTTGGAGCTGCAGCACCAAGGCCTCAGCCTGCCGCCGGGCGCCCCGGGCCGCGGCCACCAGCTCCGTGCGCGTAGCCACTAGCTCCTCTAGGGACGTGAGTTCCACCCGCACGGCCTCACCCAGCCGCTCCACAGTCTCCAGCACCTGCGCGGGAGCAGGAGTCAGGGGCAGCAGTGGGCTCTGCCCTCTGGGAGATGGGCACCGGCGGATTGAGGGCGGGGGCATGAGCCATCCTGTTTCTGGGATTCTATGACCTGGGTGGTTCGTGGCCTCAGTTCCAGGAAAGGATCTCACTGGGCTTCTGTCTGGGCTCCCATGGGGGGTGGGGGGAGCGGAGGGGAGCTCTGGCACGTGCCCTCCGAGTCTGGGGGTCCCCAGTCTGAGCAGGGCGTGTGGGGAGTTCTTGCCCTTAAATTCTGGAACCCTGGGCGGAGAGGAGGCCTATCTGGGCTGGGCTCTGATCCCCCCACAGAAGGCCCAGTGGGGGAGGCCCTGCCTGGGACTCTGCCCGTGTGGGTGAGAGAGCCCCTCACCAGGTCGTCGATGGCGCTGAGGGTGTGGTTGGCGTGCAGCAGGGCCGCGCTGAGCTGCGACACCCCATCACTGGTTTCGCTGTTGCCATAGAAACCGATGCCGATGCCGGCGCTGTGGGGGGGAAGCAGCCGCTCTGGCAGCCGTCCGGGGACCGCCCCGCCCCGCCGCCCGATTGGTCCGCGCGGCGTGGGAAAGGCCGGATCCAGCGCCGGCGGTTGCTATGGAAACGAGAGGGCGGCGCTCGGCAGGGACGTCATTGTGATGCTAATAGTGGGTGGAGTGGCGGGGAGGGTTTGCCCGGGTTTAACTCCTACCTCCGGTCACAGAGCCTCGTCACGGACTTGGCCGCAACGGGGCCCTGGGGGTCCCGTTCTCTCCCTATTGCCTCAGACACCAGGAGTACCCGCACGCGGCCCCTCCCCGGTCTCTTAGGGGGTCATGAGAGGGGCTGCCCTTATCCCATCTCCTGGGTACCCCGAATCAGGCACTCCTGTTTTCCCCACCCCAAGGGCCTGACCAGCTGAGAGGGCACCAAGGGGCTGTGGGATCCACCCCCTTCCCCACCCCCACCCCCAGTGGCCAGGACACAGAGCTCCATTGTACGCCCTCAATGTCCCCTCCCGCGTCCCCTGGGAAGTAGCCAGAGTCCAGGGAGTGGGGGGAGCCTGCTGCCCGCCCAGGCCCACCCCCGCCTGGGACCAGACACCCACTGGCCCCCGGCCCATTGTCCGCAGCCTACAAAGCAGCTCTTGTTCCGGGGGCGCCACAGTGCCTCTCCCCTGCGGGCCTTTTGTGCACCTCCGCACCGGCACCCCCACTCGCCCCCTATCCGGGCATCTACTACAGGGGTGAAAGGGGGGCTAGAGGAGGAAGCATCTTGGACCCAGATGCCCAGCCTCTGCACCTCTGCACAGAAGCTCTTGCCGCCATAGGGGTGGAGGCGCGCCTCTGATCTGGGCCACCCTGCTGCTGCAGGAAGAGGGGGTGAGGGGGAGGGTGCCGGGGCTGTCCTTGGAAAGCATTCTCTGCTGCCTGTCCTCATCCCCTCTGCACAGCTCTGCGCCTGGGCCCCCAGTGCAGTGGGGGCAGTGGGGAGGGGAGCCGTGGGTCCAGGCCAGCAGAGCTGCCCTGGGTCCCTACCCTGAACTCTGGGAAGCAACAGCAGAAGCTCATGGGTGCTTGGGAATGGGCTGCTGAGGGGCTGAGTGAGCCCAGAACACATGACCACTGTGAGCCCATTTCACAGACAGACAGACTGAGGCCCTCCAAAGTGGGCCCCAAACCTGGCTCCTGCCCGCCCGCTCAGAATCCAGACCCAGGGTGCTCCAGAGCCCACCTCCCGCCCCGGGACCCCATTACCAGCCGACGAGAAGGGCAGTGATGCAGCTCCAGATGGCACAACCATTGCCGGGGGAGGGGCTCTGGGGCCCAGGGGGCTGTGGGGGGCGGCAGCAGCAGAAGCGGATGAGGCACACAGCGATGGAAATGAGGCTCAGACTCAGGCCCAGGCCTGCCAAGGCCGCCACCAGCAACAGGGCCTGGGGGTGGGGGGTTCAGACTCAGAAGGTCTCAGGGCTCCCTCCCTGGCCAGGTTTCTGATCAGGGCGGGTGACACGTGATGGTACCATGGCTCCAAACCAGGACCTCATGGCTCCAAGCACACACATGCCCCCCCCCCCAGCAGACTGACATGGGGTGCTTAGGGAGGAGCTGGCTACCTGGGACACACTGGGGGGCGCTGTTGGATTGGGGAGCCCCAGGGGTGGCCGCCTCTGGGGTGCTGGTTCACTGCCCCACCCCAGCCAGCCCCTAGGAGCCTGCCTCAGTTTCCTCACCACTTCCAGGAAATCAGAGGTCAGGACCCCCTCAACTGGCTGAGGGAGGACACGGAACTGTGGGGGTGTCTGGCGCTGTGCAAGGGCTGGGTTGGGGTGGCAGCTCTGCTCCCTGCCTTCACCCCATTCTCTGGATGCTGGGGTCCATGCACCTACCCCAGACCCCAGGGAGCCCCTCACATGGGGACTGGGGGTCATGGAGCAGAGAGAGGGGAGAGAAGAGAGGGGAAAGAGAGGGGAAATGGGAGAGAGGTATAAAGAGATAGGAGAGGGAAGAGAGAGAGGGGAGGAAGGCAGAGAGGGAGCAGGGAGAGGGGGGAGAGAAGGTGTTCAAGGAAATAGAGCCCAAGTGGGGAGAAGCCAGCCAGGTTCAGGGAAGAGAGGCTGGTGCAGGTACAGGCCCACGCAGAGGTAGCAGGCAAGGACAGGAGACAGGGACAGGGGTGCCTGTAAAGCCAGCAGGACTGGGCATTCCCTACACACAGCATCTGCACAGTCCTGTCCTGCAGGGAGACCAGAGAGGGCCAGCACCTTCCCTGGCATCACACAGCACAGCAGGGACAAGCCCGGGACAGAGGCAGACCTCTCTGTCCTTTAGAGTGTCCTTTAGAGAGAGAGAGAGAGTGTGTGTGTGTGTGTGTGTGTGTGTGGTGAAAGGCTGTGCTGTGTGTGGTTGTGTGGCTTGTGAGATGTGTGGTATGTGTGATTGCATATGTGCTGTGTGTGTTTGTAACTCAGGCTGCATTTTTCTCAGTGTGTCAACAAGGTGTTTCACCCAAGTATGTGATTGTGACAGTGTGAATATGAGAGTGTGTGTGAGATTTGCATGTGTGTGAGAGTGTAAGAGTATGAGTAAGCGTTTGTGAGGCTGTGAGCATGTGCAAATAAGTGTGAGAGTGTGTGTAAAAGTGTGAGTGGATGAGGGAGTGCGTGGAAATGAGTGTATGAGAGTTATGAGAATACAAGTGTGAGAGTGTGAGGTTATGAGTGTGTGAGATTATGTCTAAGAGAATGAGGGAGTGTATGAGAATGAGTGTGAGTTTGCAAATGAGAGTGTGTGAATGTGAGTATGAGTGTATGAGTGAGAGTATGTGAGAGTGTGAGTGAGAATGTGAGAGTGTGTGTATGAGTATGAGAATGTGAGAGTAAGTATGAGTGTGAGAATGTGAGAGAGAGTGAGTCTGAGTGTGAGTATGTGAGAGTGTGATAGTGTGTGAGTATGAGTGTGAATATGTGTGAGAATGTAAAGGTTGAACATGAGAGTCAGTGTGAGAGTGTGTGAGAGAGTGAGTGTAAGAGTGAGCGTGTGAGAGTGTGAGTGTAAGAGTGTGAGTGAGTGTGAGTGTGTGAGAGTGTCAGTGCGAAAATGCATGAGTCAGTGTGTGAGAGTGTGTGAGTGGGAGTCTGTGAGATTGTATGAGTGTGTGAGTGTGAGAATGTGAGAGTGTGAGTGTGTGAATCAGTGTGAGAGTGTATGAGATTTGTGTGAGTGTGAGTGTGTGTGAGAATGTGAGTGATTCTAAGAGTGTGTGAGTGTGAAAATGTGTGTGAGTCAGTGAGTGTGTGTGAGAAGGTGTGTAAGAGTGTGTGAGTGTGTGAGTCTCTGGGGGCACCCCTGGATCTGCAGGTGAGAAGCTTGTGATCCTATGTGTATTTCTGGGCATGATTCCTTGACCCTGAGTGTCTGTGTGTGATGAGAAAGTGTGAGTGTGTTGAATATGTCTGTGTGAGTGTGTGTGAATGCAAGTATGTGTGTACATTTGAACATGTTGGCACATGTGTATGTAGAGCATGCACATTGTATGTATACTTTTGAGAGAGTGTTTATGTGCCCACATGGGCATGACTGAGTATGTGTCTGTGAGTAGAAGTGTGGGGCTGTGTCTGTATGTGTGAGCCTGTAAATGTGTGCACGTGTGCCCATGTATGACTATATATATGCCTGAATGTGGGTGATCAATGTCAGTGTAGGCGGGAGGATTGTGTGTGTATACGTCAGCATGCATGTGTGTCCCTAGACATGTCAGTGTGCATACATGTCTACATATGTGTGTCTGTAGGTATGTGTATCCAGGTGTGCACATGTGTCTTATTAGTGTACATGAGTATAATGTCTGCATATATGTGCACATGTGTGTTAGTGTGTTAGTGCACATATGTCATTTGTGCTTGTGTGTCTGTATATGTGTGCACGTGAATGCATGTGTGTCTGCATACATGTGTCTGTGTCTGTGTATACGTGTGAGGGTGCTTGCCTGTGCAAGTCAACAAGCATGTTGAGTGTGAGTGTGCATGCCCCCTGTCCCGAGTGGCCGAGGAAGATTTTTTTCCCTCGCAGTCTCCCGGGAGCATTCTGAGCGTGGGAGCCCTGAGCGGCGCCAGCGGTGGATGCCAGGGTGCGGGGCGACGACCCTCGTTCTGGCGCGCGGGGCGGGCTGCGCGCACGCGTGCGGAGGGCTGCGGTGCGCGCGCGTTGGTGGCGCGCTGGTGGCTGTGGTTGTGTAACGGGCTGTGGGCGCGGGGTGCGTCCCGCTCGCTTGGGGGGTGGGGGGAGCCGGAGGGAGGAGAAGTTTGGGCGGCAGAGCCGTGACCCACATAGCCCGCGCACGGCCGCATCTCTGGGTTCCTGGGACCCGCATCCGCCCGCGGCTCCCAGTGCCCAGACCGCCTGTGCCGGGGGCTCCTGGGGTCGACCCGAAGGGTCAGACACCCCTCACCCGCAGGCCGGTCCCAGGACCCCGCCCCGCGGCCCGCCCGGTCTGCTCCGCCCAGCCTTTCTTCTCATTAATCTCAAAGTCAAGGACTGAACCAAACTGGGTCAGTGCGTCCCCCCTCTACACACACACACACACACACACACACACACACACACACACACACACCGCTCGAACTGTCGCCCACCGCCGGACGGCTGCGCCCCCTGCACCCACACCTCCTGGCACCAGCACCCCGCGGCCCTGCCCCCCCCCAACACCCCTCACCTGCGACCCCGCGCCCCACACCTCCAACTGGGTATCGCCTCTCCCGGCCCCTCGTCCCCCGCCCCAGCCCCAGCCCCTTCTCCATTTCGCCCTGGGTAAATCCCGCAGTCGGGCACCTGACCCTCTCCACCAACACCGGCGTCCGGGTCCCCAACGAGGACAAGCTCAAGCCAGCCCGCCCGGATCTTGGGTCCAGGGTCAGCGTTCTGGACACAGACGGGGACCCGGGAGCCCCGAACTCCGGGCTCCCCCGCTGCTGGAGCCCAGGGTCCATGTCCCTGTGCCCCTCCTCTCAGGAGCGGGAGGACCTGCAGCTCGGGCCCGCGTCCCAGAGCCCCCAGAGCCGGGCTCCCCCGGCGCCCCCACCTGCTGGTATTCCTGCTCCTGGGGCGCGAAGCCGCTGGGCACGGGCCGGAGCTGGAAGTCGGCGCGGGGTAGCTGATGGAGCAGGTGCACCCAGGCCGACGGCCGGTAGCCCGGGGGCGCCCCCATGGCCCCCCGGAGGGAGCAGCGGGCCGGGCAGGGCTGCGGGAGCCGAGCGGGGCGCGGGCGGAGCGGGGTCTGGCGGGGCTCAGGGGAGCCGAGCTGGGGGAGGCGAGGGCGGGGGGCGGAGATTGGGGGAGGCTGGCGGCCGCGGTGCTGCCCCTGGCGGCTGCGAGGGGCACTGCGAGGCCCGCTCGCTCCCTCGCCTGTTCCCCTCACCTGCAGGCAGGACACAGGTAGCCCAGGCAATGGCTCTTTCTGCTGGGGGGAGCCTGCGGCGCAGCACGCCCTCACCCCTGTCTGTCACCACCTGTCGCCTGTGCAGGAGCCCCCATCTCTCATGCTCACGGCCGCAGAACCCCACCTGTGTCTGGCCCAACCCCACCACTTTATGGCGACCCTCCCCACCGTAGCGGGGAGCCTCCACCCCACGAGATCCCTCAGGAGCCACTGAGCCAGTTATCTTCCATAGGAACCTCCCAGGCAGGTGGGGAGCAGACGGGACTCCTCCTCCACCGGCTGCCTGGGGTTCCTGGGACAAGCGGTACTCCTGCCTGTGAAAGAGGGACAGATTTCCCACCAAAGTTACCTGGAGCTTCCTATTTGGTGAAATTGGGTGGGGTGGGAGAAGGGGGCACGTGCTCCACCTGCCGCTAGTGAGAAAGGGCTTGAGGAGAGGCTGGGGGGCGTGGAGATGGAGATTCTGGAGAAGGTGATGGCAATGGCAGTGATTATGGTGATGTAATGATTGTGACAGTGATGGTGGTGATGGTGATGCTGGTAATGATGATGGTGGTGATATGGTGGTGATGGTGTGAGACTGCTGCTGTGGTGATGGTGTGAGGCTGGTGGTGGTATTGAGGTGATAATGACGTTGTGGAGATGGTGAGGGATAATAGTAGCAGGTGGAGGGGATCTGTTCATGGCCAACAGGGTGGCTTCACTCTCTGCAGACACGCATCTCTCTTTGTGTCACTATATTTATATATGTATATATATACATGATATATATACGTATATCACAGCATCACTCTGGTCTCCAGCACGCCTCCAGCTCTGTCTGAGTCACGTCCTCCACCATCCCACCCAGTTGGGCTACTTGAAGTCCGGGAAAGAGAAGCACCTTAGGAGATCTGCTCTGAGTCGGGCTGGCTACCCAATTTCCTGGTGATTTCTTGCCTTAGTCTGCCTGTCTATAAGTGGAGGGGAAGGGAGGGAGATCAGTCTGTCCTCAAAGGCCGGGCTGGGTAGTCTCTGTCCTGCACAGACAAGCATTTCAGCGGGGGGTGGGGGTGTGTGTGCAGGGGGGGGGGTGCTTCAAAGGCTGTTGAGTGACCCACAGGGATGCAGCGCAGTGCTCCGCCTGGCAGCTCAGCAGGGGCTGCAGTGCCCTATTGGTATGGGGTCCAGGCACCGATTACTGGGGCTCAGGTCAGGCCCCCCAGATACGGTTCCCGCACTCAGCGACACGCATGTTGTAGTGGACTCCGGTACACATCTGCAGACATTTCGACTCCAAGTCAAAACATTCCAGGGACAAAAGTGATCTGGGCTGTGGGCACATGCTGGGAAGTTTTCATTCTATTCTCAGCCCGTCTCCTGGAGCAGAATTTGCTCATCACCTCCTGGTGGTTCCAGCCTAGCTCAGGTCTGCACCAAGCTCTAGGCGGCCAGTCAGGACTGGACACGAAGAGCCCAGGTGGCTCCCAGGGACTTCTTAGCTCCTGCACCCCAAAGTATGTGTGCATATGCCCACAGACACTGTACACATGTACACACATTCATACACATGCATATTCACATGTACATGCATACACACATACATGTAGCACATTCACACATGCAAACACATTCACACATATAAATACATATATATTCACACACATGGAGAACATTCATACATGCAAACATATGAACACATTCACAAACACTTGTGCACACACCTGTGTGAACATATACACATTCATGTGCACATGTGTACACACACAAACACACTCACACATACATGCAAGAGCACATATCCACACACATGCATGCATGTACACTTGCATACAGGTGCACACATTCACACACATGCTCATATGCACACATGTGCACACACATGCATACAGACTTCCTTTTGTTTCCCCCAGAAAAATGATTTGAATTGCCTGAGACTCTCATTCGCTCTTCACCTGTGTCCCTCAGTCTTTGGGTCCCCTGTCTACATTCTGCATTCATGGACATGCCCTCGCCTGTGCCATGTCCTGATGTCTGTCATGGTATCTTGGGGGTCCGCTACCTCTCTGAGACCCCATGGGGCAATCTACTCCCCAAGCCACCTCCACATGTCCCTCCCCGAGAGCCAAATGCTGAGTGGGCTGGAGCTTCTTGAGGGCTCTCTGTTAAGTGCCACAGCAGTGCCACAGCAGTGCCACCCCTGTGGTGTCAGTTCAGGGCCCAGAAGCCTGAGGATCCCCCAAGACCCCCCCACACACCAGCTCTCAGCACATGTGCCGTCTGCCATTTGCCATATATGAGAGGGACATGGTACAATCAGATGTTCCAAATGCCCAGGAGAAGCCAGAAATCCAGGCATTTTTAAAGGCAAAATCCCTTGATTTAAATGCCGAAACAAATTCCATGTAAAAGGGAGACTCCTGGGAGCCAAGTAAACCTGGCTATGGGCTAGTGCTGCTGCTTTCTAAGCTCTGGTCTAGCCAGACAAGCAGCAGTGCCAGCATGGAAGGGACCAGCAGAGCAAGAGGGACACAGAGAGGCTGAGAAGAAACAACCAGGACACATGGAGACCTCCTCCAATGCCACCTCCTCCAAAAGACCTCCAGAACCTCTCATGAGAAGATAGAGGCAGTGCTGGTGGAAGGAATCTGCTGGCAGAAGGGACCTGCAGACGCTTAAATCTGGAAGATGCTCCTGTTTAACACGGTGGTTGTGAATATCATCCTGTGTCTCAGAAAGAGTAGGAATTACATTAATCCATGATGATTCACCTCAAAATAAAAAGAGGAACCCAAAGGACCAAGGAGTCAGTTTGGGGGTCTAGAGCGCATCCTCTCCACGCAGCTCCCCCACTTTGAGCCCCGGTACTTCACTGTACCCAAAGCTCTACCAGGAGCAACCCCCCCCCCCACAAGCAACATGCTCAGAGCAACCACCACACAGTTACATTGTATGCGCTGTGGGAAATTTTGGGTTTGATTTGGGGCCACCCGGCTGTGCTCAGGTCTTAATCCTGGCTATTTGCTCAGTGATCACTCCTGGCGGGCCTCAGGTGACCATATGGGATGCTGGGGATCAAACCCAGGTCAGCTGAGGCCAAGGCCAGCTCCTGACCAGCTGTGCTAGGCCTCCAGCCCCTGTGTGGTGAGAAGCTGAAACATTTTACTCTTAGGACTTTAAGATGTGCAACAATATTGCTGACTGGTAAGCAAGCTGTGCAGTGTCTTCCTCCTGCAATTTACTCATGTGGCTTGTCCCCTTTGGTCACCTACTCCCTTTCCCCCGACAAACTCTTCTTGCACCAGGGAGCTGGTTCCACCTGTCCACAAGGCAGACATTCCCTCAGAATGCAGATCTCACGCGACCCCCCCCACCCCCCCACACACACACACCCTCACTTACCTGGAAGTGGAATCGCTGGGTCACTGCCAGTTCTGTTTATTTTCTTTAAGAACCTCCATAAGGCTCTGGAGTGGGGGTGGAGCACCAGCTTCAGGGCTTCCCCCACCCCTGCACCCTGTCCCCCCTGCCCTCCAGCTCTGCTGAGGATAGTCCCTCTGGGAAACAGGAGGAGGAGCCTTGTGGGGCTGACTCCCTGGTAAAGTAAAGTAAAGGCCCTCCCATTGATCATCGATTTGCTCAAGCGGGCCCAGTAACGTCTCCATTGGAGACTTTGCTGTTACTGTGTCTGGCATATCAAATACTCTCGGTAGCTTGCCGGGCTCTCCGAGAGGGGCGGAGGACTCGAACTCGGGTCGGCCATGTTGGCTGCGTGCAAGGCAGACGCCCTACCTGCTGTGCTATCGCTCCAGTCCCTGGAAAATCTCTTTGGAGGGGCTGGAGCAATAGGCCAGCAGGTAAGGTACTTGGCTTGCACACGACTGACCAGGGTTTGATCCCTGGCACTCTACATGGTCTCCCTGAGTACCGCCAGCAGTAATTTCTGAGTGTGGATGCAGGAGTAAGCCCTGAGCATTTCTGGGCACCTCCAAAGCAAAAACAAATAAAGGAATCTCTGGAAAAATGTTCATCCAGGTCCGCTGTGCATTGTATGGTTTGAGTAGTTGGGATCATTGTCAGGGGCTTGGAGTCACACGCCACGGTGCTGAAGGGCAACCTGGCTCTATTCTTGTGCTTTGTTCCTGACAGTGCTTGCGGGCCGTGAGGTGCTAGAACTGAACCCATGTCTCCCTCTGGCAGCGCACCCCATCCCTGAGCTGTCTTTCTGGTCCTTGGTTTGGTCAGGAGGTCACACTGCACGTTTGGAGCTTGGACAGTGAGCTGTGGTGACACCCCACAGCCCACTCTAAGAAACACTTTTTGTGATGCCACTTGCAGGATGTCTCAGGTCGGCTGCCTCGCCGTGGGACTCCCGTTCCTGGCTATGGTGTGAGCTGTGGGTTTTCCTTAGCTGTCCCCTAATGTCCTTCATTCCAGGACACTGCCCAGTGGATCAAACTCCAGCAAAGCTGCCCCTGACCGCAGGACCAGAGTTTGGGAACCCTCGTCACAGCGACAGCTATGGAGCTGCAGCACACGTGGTGTCACTAGCTCTGTGGGTCCAAGTGCTGCAGCCATGGGGGGAGGGTTTCACAGCCCCCAGGAAGGGTAAGAAACACTCTCTACTATTATTTCCTGTGAATTGAAGGCAATCCTAAAATAACACTTACTTTGAAATACGTCCACTTTATTTTAAATGAGTGGAGAGTGAAACTGAGGAGTCTGGGCCCCTCCTGGAGCAGGAGCAGCTTCTCTTCTTCCCGCCCAGCTTTTGCATCCATCTGCCAAGTCCATCCCCTGCCCCTGGCTGCTACAAGACTCATCCCAGAAAGGCTGGTTCCCACCCGTCCTGATACCAGGGGTCAGCAGCATGGTTTGCTATTTAAACA